TTCGGATGAACAATGTCAACTATCTTACAGGAAATAATTTCCTACATTTAATTCAATATACAACAAACAGTTTTCAGTGAGATTAATTTAAAAAATTGTATTGTTGATACTGGTGTATTTAAAAGGGAAATTTTTAATTTATTGCATTTTGATAATAATATGTATGTTTTTTTGAATATATACTATATTTAATGGGTAAGCTAAAACCTAACTTTGATGTTCTAAAAGTACCCTCTTTAGGCTTTTATCATTGTTGTTGTAAAAGTATTGATTAAGTTTTTAAACCAATATATGAATTAGATCCAGTATCCTATTCTTACCAGCACAGCTTTAAACAATAAAGTCTGGGTAAACGTGTTTCATGATAAAACATATATTTAAAACCTTCTAATAATCTTTTGGGTATCATATGGAGCAGAAGACACTTGTCCTTGGTGTTAGCTCTTTGGTGGAATGTTTAGTGTTCATTCATTGTTCCAATAACATCAATAAGACCAAGTTTATAGCAAACACTACGTATTTTTCATAACAACGTGGGATTCCACAAGACCTGAATATTTAGGCAACACTGCAATATTTTATTAACAATATGGTCTGCCACCCAACCTGAAGTATTATTTAATACTACATCGTTTTAATAAGAACATGATCTGCCATAGGACCTGAAGGCTTAGGCAATACTGCATTGTTTTAATAAGAACATGATCTGCCACAAAACTCGAAGGCTTAGGCAGTACTGCATTGTTTTAATAAGAACATGGGCTACCGCAAGACTTGAAGTTTTATTTAATATAAAGTTATTTAAGAAGAAGTTGAGGTGCAGCAACTGAACTGATGTTTTATTTAGTACTACATATATTACATTTTTTATAAAAATAACATGGGCTCCCACAAGACCCGATGATTTAAGTAACACTGTGTTGTTTTAATAAGAACATGGGCTGTCACAAGACCCGATGATTTAAGTAACACTGTGTTGTTTTAATAAGAACATGGGCTGTCACAAGACCCGATGATTTAAGCAACACTGTGTTGTTTTAATAAGAACATGGGCTGTCACAAGACCCGCAGATTTAGGCAACATTGCATTGTTTGAATAATAAGATGGTCTGCCACAAGACCTGAAGGTTTAGGCAGCCCTGCGTCGTTATAATAAGAACGTACACAGTCGCAAGACCTGAAATTTTATTTAATGCTACGTTGTTTTCATAACACTTTGAGCTGCAACAACTGTCGTGATGTAATATATGACATTGTTTTAATAAAAATGTAGGTTAACACAAAAGCCGAAGATTTAGGCAACGCTGCATTACATTGTTTTAATAAAAACATGGTATGCTAAAAGACCCGAAGATTTATGCAAGACTGCTTTGTTTTAATTAGAATATAATCTAATGCAACACCACATGGTTTAGGTCACATAACTTTGATTTAATTAGAACATGGTCTGCCATAAAACTCGAAGGTTGAGGCAACATAGCATTGTTTTAATAATAACGCGGGCTGCTACCAGACCTGAATGTTTAAGAAACTCCGCATTATTTTGGTGGGGTGCCACAAGACCTAAATGTTTAGGTAAGTTATATAAAAATATAGGTGCCTTACAGCTAAGAATAGTTTCATTAAAAAAGCATAGGTGTTTTCTAAGAATGTTTTGATAACGTGGAGAAAAGTTACCAATTATAGTGAAACATATGCATCAGCTATTAAAATAAACATCGGTAAATCTAAATAATATTCTCATACTCTTGTTATTAGCTCATACATTAGAAAACTGGTAGAAAAAGGAACATTTAGAAAAATTTTATACGTGATTATAAGGTGGAGTAACAAAGGGCTGTAGCAGATTGTTATTGATATGGAATCATTGCGATGACCGATTTCCTTCTCAGTAGTTCTCAATACAAGTTTGAAAACTTAGTTCAGAGGGGTTGATGTTTTATCGAACTGTAGATGAAACTACGTTATACAGCTCTAGAAATATAACTGCTACAAATAGCGTTCAGTTTCGGTTTTCAAACTTTGTTTTCGTTGATGTTAAGTTCTATTGACCTTAGTATCAAGATTAACAGTAGAACACGTTATAAATTTTAATGCTGGAAAATAAATTATCGTAAAAGAGATTATGCTGAAGGCTGTTTATTATAGGAGTTAATAAAGATAAGGGTGCAAAGAAGTTGAAATGTTGTTACTGAAACGTGAAACATCCGTAAAAAATACAAAAACTATCAAAAGGTTTTCATATAGAACACGATAAAGTATTTGTTATTTTCAATCTGAACAGACTGCAAGCCGTCAGCACTACACTCCGAACATATACACAGCCACTCTTACCCATACACTACAATAGACTGTATTTTATAATAGCACGTTGTGGAGCACGTTTTTACAACAATGGGTCGAGAACTGTGAATCCTCAGATTCAAAGACAGGACACGCTAGCCGCTAAGCCATGCTCGACCCAGTACCATTACGATGAATGATGTCTTATACATTTAATGTCATCCTATAGAAGAAGCCCTCTTACTGTTGAATTATGTCTTATAGATTTAATGTCATCCAATAGAAGAAGCCCTCTTTCCGTTGAATGATGTCTTATACATTTAATGTCATCCTATTGAAGAAGCCCTCTTTACTGTTGAATTATGTCTTATAGATTTAATGTCATCCTATAGAAGAAGCCCTCTTACTGTTGAATTATGTCTTATAGATTTAATGTCATCCTATAGAAGAAGCACTCTTACCGTTGAATTATGTCTTATACATTTAATTTCGTTCAATAGAAGAAGCACTCTTACCGTTGAATTATGTCTTATACATTTAATGTCATCCTATAGAAGAAACCCTCTTACTATTGAATTATGTCTTATACATTTAATGTCATCCTATAGAAGAAGCACTCTTACCGTTGAATTATGTCTTATACATTTAATGTCATCCTATAGAAGA